ACTGGCCTGTCATTCACTGTAGAAAAGGAAGAGCTAGGCCAATTCCCTCCAGCAGCTGGCAGCAGCAACGAAACAGAGGCTGAAGAGAGCTAAGGATTATTTTTCCAGGCTTTCTGCTCTACCAGTGCCAAGCATCAAGTCCTCAGCTGCAGTAAGCTGGAACAATTTGTCAACTTCGACAGTAATATGCAGAGGTCTCACTCACCTTTTCTCTCCGAGAGAAACAAGGAGCAAGTAGTGCAGTTAACAGAAATTATTGTCCCTCAAGCCTTAATCTGAAAACTCTTTTATGGCAGAACATTTAGCATACACATACTCACCTGTGGGCTTTATTTCAAGTGTTCCTACCTAAGCACATGACCTCTAATGAAGCTGTAGCCAAATGTCACATTTGGCAGGTGATAGATGGAGTTAATGATGCAGCTTTGAGCCATTCCCTCTCTACCCATTAATCCACCTCCTTCAAGACTTGTTCTAACAATCCAAACCAGGAATAGGTATAGCCAGAAGGAACAGTTACCACTTTGAAAGTTGGATGAGATTTTTAACTTGAAAGGAGCCAGGAATGTACATTTGTGAACTCCTGCCCCTTTCCCAACAAACACTAATGAACAGCTTCCAGCTATTGGCATTAAAAAGAATCAGCCTGTGAGGGATATGTTTCTTTCCCCAGAGAGGGAAAGCTTCCCTCAAGCTTGATCTCAAATTTATGTGTGTTTGATGGTTGTGCTTAGTCCTATATTAATGACACATTTATGGGCTGATATCTTGAGGGCTGGTAACAAAAATTTCACAAGTTCCTAAAAAGAAAGCTCTCTTTCCACTGTGACATGTCATATTAAGGTCTGCCCCTGGAAAGTTCCTACATACCAGACATCAGTTGTAACATTTTAAGGTACAGAAAACCAACTTAACATTACTTTTGAAGGCATATATTGATTTTCCCTTCTAAGTGTGATGATTGTACCTGTGGTATGAAGGCATCTGGATGCACACAAAAACAGATGTGAAGAGACTTACAACACAGTGAAAATTCATGAGTGTGCAAGGGAAACAACATAGAATGGAGACTGTCAGAAAGCAAGTCAGGCCTTGGAAGCTAGAGAGCATGGGGTTAACTGTAGAGTTTCCTAGCTCTGCCACTAACCTGAGGTATGTCCTCGGGCATGTCTCTTCACCTTGCTGCAGTTCCATTCCCCATCTGTAAAGTGAAGATAACAACAGGTAACTTCATGAAGTGCTTCAGATGACAGATGCAACTTAACTCCTCAGGGACACAGTGCGAGTAAATAACACAGTTCATTCATTGTCTCCCTAGAAATAACATGACTATTTGTTAAACTCTGTCACCCCACTTCTGCATCTCTACAGCAGCTAAATAAAGCACGTTCTTCTTGTAGTAAAGATGTAAAAGAATCAACCTTTCATCTGTACCAAGTATGCATAGCACTAGTCATAACAAATCATTACTTGCAGCAGCAGTGGAAGGATAAAGGTACTTTAAGATTTGCAGTTGTAGGAAAGAAAGCATTTACTCTAGCAGATGACAACATACAAGTACGCAGAACACGCAGAATAAAGCCTACCTAGACTACTTGTTCAAGGTCTGTGTTACAATTCTTTGTGGTGGGGAAGAAAGATGAAGATTCTCTCAGATAACTGTTAAATTTAATCTTTGTATGGAGTTGAAGGATAGTCCAGGGACTTAGAAGTTAATTGTCTGTAGTAGTTAAATGGGAATTTTAGTGACCTACTGTTCTCCCATTAGACTGGAGTCCTCAGGAGTGAGTGAGTGAGTGACAGTGTATTGCTGCAATTACTCTTCTAGTATGTATGTACATTTTTATTTGCCTGAGAACAGGAGTATGTGCTGGAAACAATTATGTTGCTATACAACTTCCAGTGATTGAAGGGAGATTTAATTTATTTTAAAATAAATTATCTTCTAAACTATCCACTTGTTTAATCATAACAAATTTGGAATCTCTTTCTTGACTTTAACAGCTGAACACTTGGCTCAGGATAAGTGGGTCATTACTTTCTCATTCTTTAACATAAAGGCAAACTGGCAGCCTGCTTGGGATTTCTTGGGACTCTTTTAAAGATATCCAGATAATCCTCTGAGAAACCTTACTAGATCTTATCTGCATTGCTTTAAAACTCAGGTCATAACTCCTGTCAGCACTTGGTATTTTAACAGTCAGCATGAAAAGCTACAATTAAATACCTGGACTGTTGTTTTATTTACACACTGTGATGACCAAAGAATTCCAAGCCCATAGTCCAGATTCTTGTGTGCCCTGAAAACCCATTTACAAACTTGTCATTTACTTCTCTTGAACTGCAATTTCAGCCTTTTCGTGATGGGATGGAAACCACCTTTCTCCCAAACATGGGCAAATTGTATTTTTAGCTCTTTGAGTGCTCTCACAGCTCTAGCTCCACTGAAATTACAGTGTTAGTCTGGATTTCCATGGCTATGACAGCAAGCAGAGCCTGTCTGCCAGCATACAGACAGACTCAGCAGACTGAAATCTGAATAGAAAATGGGGTAAGAATAGGAGTGAATGGTGCCTGAATTAATGCTGCTGCAGAATACCTTTGAGTAATGCTCAGCGTATAGACGGAGAAATACATAGAAAGCAATGAGAATAATGAAAAATAGAGTCCATGCATATTAGGGGATATTTCCTTTTTTTTTTTTTTCCCTAGATAAACTTCTATGTGGTTTGTCCTAAGTGCAAGACGGCTTGCTGAAAGCTATAATACCTTCTTCTCCTACTCTCATGATAACTTTGACTACAGGGAAAGATCATACATGCGAAGTGACAGAGTCAAGTACCTAAGTGATCAGAAATTAACTGTTTAAGTTAGAGCAAGAGCTGGAGAAGGAAAGAAGCCATACCCTCGGGAACACAATAACGATTTGTGCCCTTTTAATATCCTAGAAAACCAAGAAATGCAGATGAGCCAAGAGATATTTTGTGGAAAAAATGCCCTTCCTTACTCCAGGGATCAAAGAGGAAACCTTTAGGCAAAACTGAAAACATGACTGAAGGACGAGAGGCTATGGAAAGGGCAATACTGGTACCACTGTTCATCCGCACTAAGAGAAATGATATGTCACAGCTTGGTCTCTAGGGTCACAGTGGATAATTTCTCAGTGCCCCCTCCTCCCTCTCCTCTATTCCACCAGTCCAGTCCCTGTTTGCAATCCATGCCTTGACCTGTCCTCACCATAAAAGAGGCACATGAGAAGCAATACGGGATGGAAGAGAATAAATGGGTCCACGGCCACACTGAAGAGAGTGCACACTGCTCCCTCTTGGTTTTTGTCAGTGGTATTCCTAGAGCAGAGTCTCTTTCTACACAACTGTTCCCACAGTCAGGTTTCCATCCAAATGGTACCACTTTGCCAACATATGCCAGTGAAATGCATTGGCAGTAGCACTTTCTCTGCAATATACTCTGCTAATTCTGTGAAGAGGGGAGAATGTACCCTGTGCATTTCCAGTCCATATCCCAAATACAAAAAGGATCTGACAGCCAGGATGCAGCAGGCTCGATAAACATTGTGCAGGTTCAGTTACCTGAGTCAGAAGATCTGACAACGGTTGTTTTCATCTCTGAGACAGGGCAATTCAGCAATAAGACACTGAATTTTGTAATTTTGGTGGGAGAATCTCACTTCAAGTTAAGCCAAGACTATTTCGTTGGTAACTGCAGCTACACTCATATGACTCAAAGAAAGTTTCAGAATATTTATCTAGAAACCATAGAAGTGGGATAAGAGAGAATCTGACTTTTTTTCTCTTTTTTATTTTTTAAATACAAGAAAATTCCAAAACTTTCAGTATTTGAAGCAATTTAATCTCATTGAAACCCAAAAGAATAAAATTCCCAGACTGCAAATGGATATATCAGCTAAAGCTGCTCTAAGATTGCAAGTGTTATTTCTAATAAAACATGGCCTAAGGACCTCAAATACTAAGGGAAAAGAAAAAATAGTTCATGGCTCTTCATCCCTTTCTACAACAGCCCAATTTTCTTGAAAGTCTACCTGCTAAACAACTCCCCTTTTCTCTCAAATAAGTCACAGATAATGACAGGTATTGATACAGTTAAATATTTCTACTTTGGTGGAAAAAAGTAAATAGTTAACAACCAGAGTTCCTCACAGTTATAAATGCCATTAACTGGCTCTCACAATCCTGCTGTTTCAAGGGGAGAGGTGACATTGGACTTGCAGGGCATTAACCAGGTGAGTCGAAGAGAAATCTTTAAATAAGGCGGCCTCTAGTGAAGCACTGAAGGAGAAATGTGCTTGCTGCAAGCTGCCTTTATTTGGATGTCAATTGGATTCCAGTTGCACTCATTTATAACCAGATCGCTATTTCTTGCACTGTTTGGCCTGCACTTAGGCAGCAAGCGGACACACAAAAATTAAAATGAGCAAACCTGGGTCACCTACTGCCAAAATATGCCAGCATTCCCAGGGGCTGGGAAGGCAGGCAGAAGCAGGCCAGCAGACCATGAGAGGAATGTTTCTGCTCCTAGGAGTGAGGAGAGATGGAGCTTCCTGAGGGGCCAGGTTTGACCACAAGGGACTTGGAAACTGCTGTTTGCTTCTACTGTCATAATGGGAACAGTGCACAGCTGCATGTGCTCATGGTAGAGAAACAGCATTGCCATTTCTCCCTGATAGGAGCAACCCTGCAGAGCCCCAAACACAAGCACCTCTCTTGCAATACAAGGATGAGAGTCCCTCTTTGGAAAGGCGGGCTTCCACCATATTTTAGGTATTACTGAGCTTTGCAGAGGCAACTTCCTAAGGCTCAAGTCATCAAACAATACAACTTCCTGTTCAAGCAGTTGCCATTACAGTGGTTTCACTTGGCTCTGTCTCATGTGCTGCGGAGGGAGGAGGAGAGAAGCTGTGTGAGCAACCGAGGGTGCAGCCCAGCCCCACAGCGAAGGCAGGCTGGTGGCACGGGGCCCTGGCAGACGTGGCAGTGCCTGCAGGGGGTGGGGACAAGGCGTCAGGCCCACCATTAGCACCATGCTCCTGGGGATCCTCGTGGTGCTCTGCTTCATCCCCACTGCTGATCTAACAGGTAACAAAACCCCCACATCTCAATCCGTTCCACTGTTTTTCCTCACTTTGATCATTGGGGGGAGAAGGTCTAGTATAGCTTTGAAAGTTTTGCACAAATTATTCTGTATTTGGGTGAAAGGGAAGAGACGGAGCATACTGCTAAGGCTGCATATCAATCAACTTGGTATAACTCAGAGGCTGATTTGTTCCGTGCCCCAAGTATCCCTCCAAAATAAGATCCAAGAGCTTTCTTTTAATTTAACTTCTCTTTAGATGCATTTGCAAATTGCATGCATAGACAGGGGGGTGAGGTGGGTGGTATTTCACCTTCCCCATGGGCTTTACAAATTTTGCTCACAGGTGCCTTCTTCTGTGGGGCAGGGGAGCTGAGCAGACCTGGTGCCAGTGCCTCTCTTGGGGCAGCCTCTCCACCATCCCCAAGTGTCCTGTGCAAAGCTCCAGGTCCCACCATGGCCTGGCTCAGTGTGATGGGCTGCAGAGCTCAGCCCACCCACATCCTCACAGAACCAGCAAACAAAAGGATCTAAAGCGGAGTTGCTTACTGAGCTCAAAGATGGGAGGATGGGAATTGCAGAGTTTCTCCTTTTTGTATGGTTTAGTAGTTTATTGATACTTACCAGATATTTAGTTTCTTTCTGAAAACATCTTCAACAAACCAAAATGTCTATTTGTGATTTTAAAATTCTGAGTCTTAGTGAATCTTTCTGAATCTCCAGTTGATGTGACTGAGGGTATTTTTTCTTGGTGTTGTCTTGCTGATGCAGTGTTCATACGTTCAGAGGCAACACGTCTTTCCAAGGGGTGCATCAAAATGCGGAGCAAGGCAAGGGATGATGGCTTTTGCTAGGACAGTCTTGAGACAGATACATTTTCAAACTGCTGGCCTGTGAACTCTTGTTTCTGGGTCTTCTCCAAATACCAGTGTTTTGTATTTTACAGGGAAGTTACAGATAGGTTCAAAATCTGTTTTCTAGTACAAAACTTTTCAAATATAGAGCATCTTTAAACAGGTGCTTTTCCTAATACAAGAGATACAATTGAATCTATTTTTTCCTCATTTCTGCCTTATTTTTCGACAATTTTTTCCTCAGTGAAAGCATAGTAATATGCACAACACCATAATCTGCATTCCTTTAAGAGACCATAGGCTTTTTCTTCCTTGTCCTTTTCCCATGTTTATAATTCTGTGTCTGCAATATCATAATTATTTCCACAGCAGGCCCCTGGGTTGTCAGAAAAGACGCTGATACCAGGAGGGGATAAGTATCAGCAGTGGGTTAACAGTTTTAAAAACATTTCCATGTGGTATGAGCAGCTTTTAAGCAACTCTCTGAATTGCAGCAAAATAAAATACAGTGTGTGGTTATCAGATACAGGGGACATTTATACACTTGTTTTGCACGAAGAACTTGAGTTTCTCCAAAAGCTTCACTGAGACTGGTCAGCTGTTTAAAGCAAAGCCCATGAGGCCATTTGCTTCTCAGAGCTCTCATCTTTTTCCCATACTCTTCTCCACCTCTTCTCTTCGTTTCTATCAGGATGATTGATCCTTAGTACACGGAAAACATTAAGGCAGGTCAAACCCCTGCAGGACTTCCTCAAGCCACAAAGTGTATATAGGCCTCAGGTATTTTGTTTAGGTGAAGAAAACAGAATTTGTCACATTCTGCTGTTGTTAGACTGTACCAGTGAGAGCTGAAGGTTGAGTTTAAATCATGGAAAAGGACTTAAAATGTCAGTTTGTCCATTTCCCTTTTGCAGAAACACTAACATTTACAAAGTTTGTCCTGCCCCCTTTTTGTTGTCTAAATAATTACCTTGCTATGCTCTGTCTGAGAGGCAACTAGATCAAGTTGCTTGACCTCATCTTTTCACTGCGTGCATAACGTCCTTGCTTATGGTCTCTGGGTGTTAAAATCAACCTCTAGCCCACTAAAATGACCAGAATACAGATGATGTATGAGGTAAGGTTAGCTGAGATTAGGATTACATCAACAAATTCTTGTTAAAAAAAAATAAAATCACAAACTGACAAGAAAGACCCTGTGCTCCCCTTGGGTTTGATAAAAGCAAGAGTGGCACCTGGGCCCTATGCAATACTTTGCTTCCTGCAGTACTCTGCCCAGGTAGGAAAGAATAGCCGAAAGCAAGCCTGTAACGGCTAGAAGGGGCAGATCCCTCCAGGTGCTCCTTACACACACATCACCTAAAACCAAAGAAGAAGAGAAAGACTGTTGTGCCTGGCAAAGAAGTGCAAAGTAACTGAACAACAGACCAGCAGCAGCAAAAATGGAATAGCTTTGTTTATAAGATAACTGTCTTTTGTTTGTGGATTAAAAAAACTCCTTTTAGGTTTTTCCCTATCTCCCCCAGGACTTAAATGGGCTGTTTCTTTACTGTGCTTATAGAAATCCTAACGTATCCCAGATTCCTTGTTCTGGCAAATAGCTCCTTGAAGTCAACTGGCATGGAAAAGAAAGAGAGGAGAGTAAGAAATATTTTTAGCAGAATATTTTTTCCAATAGCTGATGATGATTCATGGAAAGTGCTGGAAAAAAAAACTCAAAATAGTTATTTTCCATACTTAGTCGTCTCTATTTCACTTTCTTGGCAAATAAGAAAGAAAAAAACCTCAATTAAATTTTGCTTGCACCAGGGGGTCCATGATTAGAGAGTCGGTATTTTAGGGATATTATATATGGATGGCATTTTTTTTTTCTTGATGCAAAAGAATCTTGCATGTGATTATAACAAATATCTCACATGGCATATAAGGTATAAAAAAGCTTAACAAATATTAAACACCACTGCATATAAGTCCTAAGATCCTGGAAAACCTTGTGGCCTGTGCACACTGACTTATAAGATTTTACATTTTTAGGACTTCACAGCTTTTTGAAACTGGATTTTTCCTAACTGCCATTTTCTTGGCTGGGTAAGGCCAAGATACAGATATTTATTACTATGAAGCATGACTGAACACAGCTCTGGAAATGGCAATCATAACCCTATTTAGGGGAAAGCATACACTAATGGAAACACATACTAAATGTTTCAGAGTTTCACCGTTTTCATAAACCAAAGCAACACTTACGAGAAAACCTCCCTCTGTGAAAGCACAATCAGCCTCAGCCCATGTTTGCTCGGAACGGTCCAGATCCTACTAAGAATATAATCAAATCCTATTCAGATCACAAGCAAAGTAAGGGATGTTTGGCCTTACTATGTTTTGCCTGTGAAACTCATGCACCTTTTGGCATGATTGATTCTCTTAATATTCAGAAAACATCCAAGCCCAGAGGAGGAGGATGACAGCAGGGCCTAACGTGCCTGGGGGGAGGTCTGCCTTGTCCCGCTGGCACTGCAGCCCAACCAATGTACGGGACGCTAACTAGTTCCTATACATGAAAAACAAAAGATCTCCCTCAATCAATTTAGATTTGAGCTAGTAGAGCCACTATATGAAAATGGATTTGGGTGCCTAGCTTAAATCATGTACAAGGAGCCATTGTTTAATGGTCCACAAATAAACCTTTTCTCACTGCATCCCAACATCAGCAGCATGGGGCTGGGTTATCGACACCCAGCCTGCATGCCAAGGCAAACAGACTGGACCACCGTCAAAGATGTGGAAATAAGTTGAAGGAACTTATTTTATTCAGCTAGTGTATCAAAAGAGACTGGTTGACAACCAGCACAATATCATGGCAAGGACATAAATAGTCTAAAGCTGTAGTTAAATAGTGGAGCTCAAGGCATGAAGCTGTGCACTAAATGTCAGGAATCCACATTAGCTGACAATAGCAAAAGGTGGGGGTAAGTCACTGGGATCTGCAGATGGGTCTAAATAACATAACTGATGAGATTTTTAGTGTTCTTTGTGTTTCCTCTGGCCATAGTGAAAAATCTGATCTGGCTGAGCAATAAACATCTATTAGTTTTCTGTAAGTGCTTGCAGTGAAAAATGGGCAAGCATTTTTCTGAACTGTAATGCTTCCCCGTGTGTCTGTTTCAGGATGCTTATTTTGGTTGTAAACTCTGAGACAGAAAAGGTGTATTCTGAAGGTGTATTCGGTCCCAGTGACAATGAGGGTTGTAGTGGTGGGAACTACTGCAGTGCAAATCAGAAGAGTAAGTCTGTCTGAAGTGAGATGTGTAGAATTCTGCTGTGCTAAAGGTAGAACAATGCTACCGCTGACTTGCACATCGCCACTTAGGCCAAAGATCAATTTGCTGGCCAACAAAAATATGATCAAATACCTTGTCTGAAGGGGTGGAATCCAAACCTCACCCCTTACTAGAATGCCTTATAAGCCTATGTGAGAGCTTTTGTCGGAAAATGCTGATTCGATGAAACTGAAATGTTTTGCTGAAATGTCTTCATTTCGATGAAAATTCACCACAGGCAGCACCCGAGTAGAAACCTGCCTTGTCTGTTCCTAATCTGCTGCTCAGTTCCAGGATTCCAAGATCCATGTCTCTTTCTGCTGGAAAGCCTGGAAATGCCCATCCTTCATCAAAACAAAAGGTTTCACAGTCTTTGGGTTCCCTGCAAACATGGGATTTCAGAGCTGTGATGAGCTCTGCTCCACGCCCCCACGCTAACTATGTTGAACAAAGACACAGGCAGGATGGACTACAATCTTTCTTTGCTAAAGATGCAGCAGTAGAGCATTCCCTGTCTCATGTCTTCCTGCCCTCATAAAAAGAAAGGGCTGGTAAACAAGACTGCTCAGAGAGAAAATTAACAACTTGCAGTTTCATGGGTTGGGCTGGTAACTGGAGAACCTGCTAGCCATGGGTTGTTTTTACTGCCCACACCCTACCACTAGTCCTGGCCATCTCACGCATCTCTTTGTGTTTACTTTACTCCTCGATTCATGTTGATCCCAAAGGAGCATCCTACTCAAGAGGTTGGGGTACTGCATCTTCTTGTGCAGGCGTGAACACAGGAAATGTAGCAATTTGGTTCTAAATATTGTTAAGCATACTTGTTTTCTGGTCATTCTAGATCTGGCCCCTTCCCATTCCATTTCCCTTACTAGCCTTTTTTAATTCTCGTTACATGGATAAAGTGGAAAGAATATAGGTTTTGCAGCAGATTTTGAGGATGAAATACGATTGCCATTCTCGCAAGCACAGCAATTCTCAGGTATCTATAAAACGCTACTAAGACATAAGATATGAGCTTGCACAAAGACTTATGCAGTCATATACACTCTGGCGAGTTCCTAGCATAAAAGCCAAAATTCCCTTCTTCTTACTTACGGGCCATCATTTGAAAAGTAGGGCCTCGTGTACAGATGATTTTTCTTGGAAGAAGTTGTCTTTCTGCATAGTCCTTGCAATGCTTCATTGTTGGCAGATGGTAGCACAGAGGGCTACGTTTCAGAAAACATTTCCTGTTTATGTATCAGTCCGGTCAATTCAGATTGAGTTATACCCTCATGTGACATGGGTTTTTTGCAGGTCATTCAAGTGCTAAGTGCCAATGCATTGTCAAATTAGTCAGTTCCCGAGTCCTTTGAGAGATTAAGAATCTACTACAGCTGCTAGCTAGACAAATTACTTATGTTACATTAAAATGATAGCAGTTCATGCTTTTAGTGCTCGTCATGCAAGGCCCAAACTCGAAATGGTTCAGCAAATTCCACCTACAAACTCTTCAAGTCTGTCCTTGGATTAAAAAGCAAATGTAAAAATAATATTCTCTCATCTAACTGCTAAACTAAGCATTTAATTCACACTATTTTCACTCCACAATGTCCCCTGGAAATCTGCTTGCCAAGGAGAGGAGAGACTAAGGTGGCCGTATATATACACACACGCACGTACACACAGAGTAGCCTTGTGAGTCCTGACGTTAAATCTTCATCACACGGGCCACTTTCTGTACTAGTGCTCTGACTCTGAAGAAAAACGCTCTTGACCTCACAGTCTCCCCTCGTGACTATGTAATTATTTATATGAAGGGGAATTGCTGCAACAAGAGCTCCTGTGAGGAAGTCCTTCTGCAGCTTGGTGGTTACATACTCCCTTGCAGCGAGTGTCAGCAGGGGAGAGGAGATATGGAGAGTTGCACAGGAGGACGGGTGGTTCTGAAGTCTTGCACTGTGTTTTATAAACAGGTGTTTTTCTCACTTTCTCCCCTCCCTTCCAGAAAACAAGATTTTAGTGGCTCAAAGTCCTCTGCTCACTGTAGCTAACAAAAATGCAACTCTAGTCTGCAACTACACGTACAATGGAACAGGGAAGGAGTTTCGAGCGTCGCTGCACAAAGGAACAGACAGTGCAGTCGAAGTTTGCTTTATTTCATGGAACCTGACCAAAGTTAGCAGTAATTCAAATAAAGAATTCAACTGCCATGGCATGCATGATAAAGACAAAGTCATCTTCAATCTTTGGAATATGAGTGCCAGCCAAACTGACATCTACTTCTGCAAAATCGAGGCCATGTATCCACCCCCATATGTCTACAATGAGAAGAGCAATGGGACCGTCATTCACGTGAAAGGTGAGCTGGGGAATCTCCATAGGCCAGTATTCTCCCCGTACATACTCCCTACATGATGGCTGGAGGCAGTTTGCTTCATTTAAAAAAAAGAAGTGTAAAAAACTACATTCCCGCTCCTGATGTCCTGAAGGAGACATCTTAAAATGATAATTAATACAAATGGTGCATTGGAACAAAGAGCAAATAAGCAAAATAAGCAGAGATTGAGGCTTTTGCTTTCATTTTCAAACTTTTCTTTGTTCTTTTCCTTAAAGAGACACCCATCCAAACACAAGAGCCTCAGTCTACAATTCCTTTGTGGATTACAGTGGCAGTGACTGGAGTTCTTGCTTTCTACAGTATGCTAGTAACGGCAGTTTTCATTAACTACTGGGTAAGAAACTACTGTTTTCCTTTGCTCTGTATGCTCTTTGTCCCTAGTTCATTTCCCAGGCTATATTTGCCATGTTTACCACAAACTCAGTGATACCCCTCACTTCAGGATCACAGTGCTTCTTCACCCCCACTGCGAATGCACAACCATGCCATGTCCCAAAAGAACTGAAACACCAGATGCTCGACTTGTGGGCAGTCAAGCCTGAGCACCAGAGTCCTAAAGCATTGCTGAAGTAACGCTGTAGTATTGGCAGTGCCCTGCACACCATCAATACTGGGACACTGTCTCTGCCAATTGTGCCTGTCAGGGAAAACTAGTACTAAAAGCATTCCTGGCAAACCCCTTTGAGACTATACTGACAGAAGGAGCTCGCTAAGTAAAACTATCTTTAGGGAACACCCAGTTGGCCCATGACCATCTGCACCAATGTCTTGTGCCGATCCAGCAATTCCCTCGAGTACCCGCTGTTTCTGACAGCTTGACTGCAAGGGAATAGGAACACCGGGACCTCAGTAGTCCCTTGTCTCCCTCTGTATGTGAACCCTGAGAAAGCTGAGACAGTCTTATGGCTCATTATTTTCGCTTTCTAATCTCTCTGGAGAGTTGGCTGGCCAAGGTCACATCCAGTTCTGCCTGCTGGAACAAAGAAAGAGTGGGGTGTCATGCAGAAGCAGCAGGAGGACATCTTCCCAGACAAATCTTAGGACTGTGATCTCCTAGAGCTGATTTACACTACTTATTCCATGTGGGAAAGGCTGGAACAATGACTGTTAAGAGCTCTGTTCCTGTCACTCTGCCTTTCCTCTGAGCTGTGGTTGTAGAAGAAGCCGGGAACACAGGGGCAGCAACAGAAACTGGTAAAGTCCTGACTTGGTATAAACATTACTTAGCAACAACTAAAAACACTATCAATACTTTTCTCAGCACAAATCCAAACACAGCCTCATACTAGCTACTTTAAAGAAAATTAACCCTATCCCAGTCAAAACCAGCACAACTTGTATCTTTGACTTTAAATAGCAATTTTAAACATTTTATGAGGTAGCCTGGATAAAGGGCCCAGAGTCCCTGACAGGTTACAAGTTGCATGTGTACAGAAAGCCACTCTTCTTGCTAGCTGAAGCTTGTTGTGTTTCACAAAAATACACTTGCTCAACATATAGCTATTTCTAATGGAAAACAATCAAAAGGGGCATTGCCACAGGAAACTGCAAAGGCAGGTTAAGTGGTCCGTTGTGCCTTATTGTAGAGGCTGACTCCTAGGACAGCTGAGAGGATTACAGCAAACAGCTGCTGGTGTTACAGTGCTGTGCTACAGTGGCTGAGCCCTGATGGGATAACGTAGCTTCCAATCCATCATTTACCTGAACCATTTTCCCTCTGCTGTATTCGTTTGGTACCTAATGGCTACGCACTTTGCTACTAACATGTCTGCCCCCAGCAAGAGCGACAAGGCTGCACTGCGATGTGCGCTGTTTGCTGCATCAGTTTTTACCTGCTGTTCTCACTGCTGGTGGTATTCTCCTGATAATATGTACTGCGAGCGTGGATGTATTTAGAGTGTTGCTGAACGGAAATGCAGCTGCCTAGAAGACATTGTGAATTGTAAAAAAAGGTCCTAAAATATGATACTTGACAGCTATGGCAAGCCTGTTTCACTTGAGTTCCTGAAAGAAGCTATAGGTTTGTCTATTTTCATACAGTTCTGCCTTCCCTGGAGGAAAACTGCTTTCCTCTCCAAAAGTAGCAGTCTTTGATCCTAGAACAGTCCAGCATTCATTCATGCTAGCAAAATGTCTTTCTCCCATGCAAAATTACTTTTTAGGTGAATTAAAAATACTATATTATGGAGGTGAACACATACAGGTAAAGCTTTTATCTAACGCATGGCTTAAGCAGTATGCAGTTACATCCAACACCCTGCATATTTAATATAAAAATGCTTAAAATGTTTCATGGCAACTGCCCCACTCTGCATGTACAGCATAACTCAGCCATCAGATTTTCTACTGCAAACCTCCTCCAATTCCACAGCATTACAAGTATATTGCAGCATATGCAAATATTTGTGTGCATAGGGAGGAAACTTCAGTAAAAAGAAGATTGCAAAAGGTCTGATGAGTATTCAGGAAAAAGCATGGAAGTACTTTACCTAGCCCTTAATCAGTAAGCCTCAAGCTACGTAAAAACACTAACCTTGTGCACAGCCTGCAGCCGTCAGATGTTCAAATGCTGCTGTAGCCACAAACTTCCTCTGTGATTATAGGCAAATTGTTTCACCTGTCTTCTGCTACTATTATTTCTAGACGAGACAATGCCTCCCTTGTCTCACAGGGGCATTATAAGACAGGAATTCAACAGTGGAAAACAAATTTTTGAGGCCCAGATAGTGAGACAAAGAAAAGATTAACATCAGCTCTGATTCTTTTGCTGCTTGCAGGCAGGTGCAGAACAGCATATACATTGTGTGTTCCTGCTGTAAATGGCAGGCAAACCATGATACACATAGCCTGGTCTGATTTTTCCTGCTCCTATTCTGTTTGAGTTAAGTTAATTTCTTTTTTCCTCCTAATAAATGAGGACAGCCTTCACTTCTCAGACTGTATTGCTTCTGCTGAGTCATTCCACAGCAGAGAATTGATCGTGAGAGGCATCAGATTGTATCCTTTGCAGCATACCTGTACTTGGAGAGCTAACACTGTAAATCTCTCAGCAGATAAGCTGGAGACTTACATTCAGGTCGGGCAAATTCCATAGATTATTTTATGACAACATGTGTTCTAATTCTTCTGTAAATGTATTTAAACCTGAGACTGCCTTATAAATACACTTGCTTCCCTGAACCAGGACCTAGGGCCAGAACTGTCAGCAGTTAATATGAGATTTGGGTGAGGCAATTTGTTAATTCAAAGAAGGAAAAATGAATCAAATCCATTATTAATTTTTCTCAGGTCTTATTAACAGTCAAAACCCCTCTGCTCAAAGGATAGCTGATCCCTTTCTTCTTCTCCCTTTGTGAATGTTCACCCCAGACAGGGCAGAGTAATGGCAGAAATGTTTTCACTCTTCTCCTCCTCCTTCTCCCACAGCAAAAATCCAAAAAGAGTATCTACCACCAGAGTGACTACATGAACATGACTCCCCGGCATCCACCGTACCAGAAGAACAAGGGTTACCCATCCTATGCGCCAACAAGAGACTACACTGCATATCGGTCCTGGCAGCCGTGATACCCACCAGTAGCCTTGTGTCCTTCTAGGCAGTCACTTGCTCTTGGACATGAAAGGACAGCCTCTCATTTTCTCATCATGTTTGTCATTACTGATCATGGATGCCTACACCATAGCAAGTACTGGCTAAACTTTGATATTATACTAAAACAAGAAAACCAACCAAACAAGCATAAAAGCCCAGGGGGGGTGGGGGGTAGGGAGGGGGGAAATACTGAAAAAGGATTGTTCTCCATGGAGGCTGAAAATGAGATACAACTTGTGTTGAAGGTTGTCAGTGGGTAAGACAGAAGGATGGCATCAGACCTCAGAGCTGGTTTCCTCATAACACTTGTGGTTTTGCTCAACTGTTGGGAGAACCAGAACTTCTGACCTTTCCCAGTAACTGCTGTCTTAGATTAGAACCCCTGACTGCTGTTAAATATGGCAAAATGTAAAAAAAAAAAAAATAATTTCTTAGCTACAAGGCCAGGGCACAGTTTGAAGCTCAACCACATGCTTGAAAGAAAGAGGGAAAAGTCAGCCAGGAGCCATCCAAGCTATTAGGCTACAGCACAAGTGGGCTGCCAGGACAAATCAAGTTGATAGAAAACTACTAAACCTTCAACATGTGAGTCCTTAGGTTGGACACTTTGTAAATGTTCATAAAGCCATTTGAAGTCATGACCAAGCAACTCCACAGAGTGAGCAAGTAATCAACCTGAAGGCAAAATCAAGACAAGCGGGAAAGGAAGATCCGTTGTTGTCAGGAAGAACCCCATTTCTGTTTCGTTTGCCTCCTACAGTGGGGGAACACAAAGTCATATGGGAAGCATTAGACGACACAGAGGTCAGATTTTGAGGAGAGCTTTTCTTCATTTTTGAATTTTTGTTTCTATCGAAAAGGCTGAGTCCTCCTGAAAATTCGTGCACGTCTTCTGGCACCTGGGTTGTACCAGAGCTTTTTTGAAAATCTGGGTCCAGTTATGAGCAACTAAAGATCACTTGAATTATTTTTTTCCCATGAGCATCTAGTTTTTGGGATGTGAGAGGGTCCTTCATTCCCACCATTGTGAACTGGACCTGCAAGTGCTCAGCCGCCTGCAGGGACTGCTCTGGGCACTTTGAGGAACTTTGTGTTGACTGAAGGTTACCTTTCTATCTAAAGATGTTCCTCAGGAATGCTCCATGCTGGAGTAGGACAAAGTCTTCAGCAAAACCTGCTTCATTCCTTCAATTAAGTATGTTTACATTAACAAGACATCCTAAGCTGTAATTGGGGTTGTCTTGGCATAAAATCCCTTTTCATACTGAGGAGGTGAGGTTTATTTTATAGGGACTACTGAATAAACAATTAAATGAAAAATAAATCCATATTCGCACATTGAAATAAAATTGGGATTGTACAACATTTACTTTCCTCCAAACTGGGATAAGAAGATTGTTTCTTTCATTGAGGGGACAGGACAAAAGTAGAGATGTGGAAGCGTGGCAACAACCTGCTTTGATATGTTAACCCATGAAAAAACTTTGGCACTTCCACACTGGAAGTTTTATCTGAGTTTTCTGACTGGCCAAACCATGCATTCTGAGTTATATACCATGAACCATGTTACTGGTGGGTGCGGTGTCCCCTCTGGGCAGCAATCAGGTGCCTGCTATCCCCTCAGTCAGGCACAGCTCAGCCAGGGCCAGGCGTGGAGCCCACAATGGCAATGGCAAGCGAGGCCTGTGCACCTACTGCCATGAGGCAGTGCTGTGCCTTTGTCAAGGGAGCTTGGTCTTGGACTCCGCAGGCCCTGAGAGCTTTGCTTTGGGTCAGTGCAGCAAACCCAAACACTTGTGACTGGGTTGAAGAAAACAAAGTCTTGCTGGCACTGACTGGAGGGATGTGAATGCCTTGCCACCTCCCTCCTCACTTGGAGGGGAAAAGTGGATGATCCTGTGCCAGGGGCATTCAGCCACCCCTGGCAGAGAGCAGCAGGCTGGGCACAGTCCTCGGTCAGCGTATGGCACTGTCTCACCATGCTCCATGCCATCTGCCAGTGTTGCCATTGCAATAACACAACATTAACAAGGGCTCTGATTACAATGCACTGTGAAAAATCACATCTTCTAGTGCAAATGTAAGGTGAGATGGCCAATATGTATCAAAAGCATAAAACAGGATAAAAGCTCTTTGTTTAAACTGCATATACGTATGTTTAGATACAGATGTGTCTATGTCATTATATCTATATTCCTTATAGTTTTATTATACTTTTTTCAATCTCCTTTTAAAACTATTAATAGATACAGTAAATTAAATCCTCAATAAATGGATGAGGCCTGAGGCTAGTCAGAGGAAAGTATTACTTTCTAAAGCAAATGTTGGTATAATTTGCTTCCCTTCCCCTAACACTTTTGTAATATCCATATTTAAATCATACTGATACCTCCCAGGACACGATACTGGAAAGTAAGTCCTGGAACATCTGGAACAAGTATTAATTCATTTGACTGACCAAAAAAAAAGGGAGATACAGGGAAATATCCTACATATATAATGAAAAAAATGAGCAGAACCAGGACAGGAGAAGCACTGTGTTAAAATGGACATTGCCATTACATTAAAGCACTGTAGGGACACGAATTACAGACTGTTGGAGATGAGATACCAGTAAATACCCTTTATCCACCACTGTAAAGGACTAAGAGAAAGTGTTTGCAGAGAAGCAAGCCAGTTAAACCTGGAGTCTGGCTCTGCTATGTAGATTAGCATATAGGACAAACAGAGCAATCCTAATTTTTTCCATCTGGTCTTAAGCAATGCATGACATGCCAGGACAGCCCTGGCCCTCCCTGGCCCTGCCTTTGGGGTCTATATGCTGTTTATGGGATGATGTAAAGAGAAACCTCCCTCTGTTGCTGCTTCGAACTTGGAAACTGGCCCTCATGGAGGGCAGTGAGAGATCAAAAGGGTTTTCTGCCTTGCACACAGGTCTTAATTCAAATGGGAATATAATCCTGCCAAAGTGTGATTTAATTTTCATCCTCCTTTCCCCCACTTTTGGATGTCAGTGTCAAACGAACATCTGATCTGCAGTCATATCTGAACGGCAATCAACATATGTTGCAAGGGGTCAACCAGGGGTTGTGCAGCTCCAGCCCCCTGCATGCTGACTCCTGTTCTGCACGTCTCCAGCACAGCACAGAAAAAACAACAGCCTGGCTCTTCCACGCTTCCACCAACCAAGCCCCTAGGAGACTCATGCCTAGGAGGTAGCCTGTGTAATCTGTGCAGTATCTTGAACCTTCACCTTTGGGGTTGTCAGGTTTACTAACGCCAAAAATCTTGGACATTCCTTCTAGTTTGGATCCTCCAAATTCCATTATCCTCCTCCTGCACCACATTTTTCAAAATGTCTCTTCTTTCTTCTGCAGCTATAAACATGAACCCTGTATGTCTGTCAAACAATATCCATCTTCCTTCTTTGAATATGATGTCTTTTACTTTCATAGCTATGACAGACTCAGCAGTGCAGGAACCCACCCAACTTGCTAACCTCCAACACCACTGTGCCGCCTTCCACAAGTACCCCAGACCTGTTATTTGCTCCACAAAGACTGTCCTGTATGCTGCATTCCTCTTCAGTCTGGGGCAAGACTGGAAGACAGGAGCCATGTGGTGATTGGATAGGTACTTGTTTTCTGTTTGAAGGAATTGGGGTCTTTCATCCCTTTGATTTTTCCCATCATCTTCCAACTGTCAGTCGTGCCAACTGACCACGAGGGAATCCCACATACCAGGTGCTTCCCACCGTGCATTTCATTTCTGTATGTTTCATTTCCTGTGCATAGCAGGCTTTTGGCAATTGCCACGTTCATTATGCCTGTAGACGTGCCCTGACAGCAGAAACAACTTTGGCTACTGGTGGTATATTTGATACTAATAAATAAGGTGGTACAAAATCCTGGAGTTTTAGGAGCACACAAGCATAGGCTTCAGTGGTAAAGATCAAAACTTTGCTTTTAGCAACACTTCTGCTGTGTGACTGGAAAATACTTTACTCAAGATGAATCACAGAACAAGACATAAATTTGTTACTCACACTAACCAGAAAACAGGTTATGGTAATGAGTACGTCATCAGCTTCGTTAAGGTCCAGTAAGGAGTGGGAAAGGCTGAAAACAGCACTAGGCAGTAATTTGTAGCCAAAGTCAGTGTCTGCAAGCGGCTGTGAGAATAAAACATTACTAGCAGCTTATCTTGATGCAAATGGATTGTTCTTCAAAATTAGGTGCTTTTGTTCATGCATCCCATTACAATCTGTTACTGTTCCAGCCTCAAAGGCATGCAGATGTGGCCACATTTCTGATGTGGCCAGTTTGGCTGACAAAGTGTTAGGAGGCTGCCAATTTCGTTCAAATCCATTTGCAAACAGACAAAAAGTTGAATGGTCTCAAAATCGTGGTGGTGGTGGTGGTTGTTGTTGTTGTTTGTGTTTTCTGTTGTTTTCTTTGGTTAGGTGGGACTTTCTTTTTTTAGTGGATCTCCAGGATCAAGGCACTCGTTCTTACTTTTTCTCCTTCTTTTATTAATAAAAATGAAATGTAACTTTATTTTCAGGACCCATAAACTCACCGAGAGCACTTCAGTTTTGGGGAGCTGGCTGTCTCATTCATCTGACCATTGAAATGACCAGGAATTTTCAAATGCCGCAGTGTTCCTAGCCATGATGCAGCCACATCATTCCTTTTCCTCGCTGGTTTTTATTCCTTCAAGGGAACTATTCCGGATCAGGATGAAGTGTTCTCATGGGCTGGAACAACTGTGGTTTTTCAGCCAGGGAAGATGACTCCCTACCCAGCAGAAGCGGGCACAAGCAAGCACTTTGTCAGGTGCAGTTCTGTGGAAATTCACACAGTGGTTTCGATCTGGTAAGAGGATCAAATGGCCTTTTAACAAATTGCTCTAAAATCAAGAAGCTTAAGAAATTACATACTGAAGCACCTTAAAAGAGAAGGAGACGGGGTTGCAGCGGTAAGAACCCCAGAGCAGGAAATGCCAGAAG